GGGTATTTGTTGAACTTGTTTCCACCTCCTCTTCCCAGCACCGGGGTTACGGGTGACCGTGCCTGGATCTTTATCTGGATTCTTAGGATTTGAACTCAGGCTCTCATGCTTGCACGTGAGTGTTTTCTACCGGCCATGCCAGACTCCTTTTCTCTTCATGCTGTATTTCAGTGTCTGCTTAGCTGCTGCCTTCTGGCTCTTGTTGCCTGAAGAAGAGACATCCCAGGTTGAACTTTGAGGCCTAATTTTCATAGAAAGTCCAGGTTCAGAATTCAGAGGTCTGAAACCTCCCAACTTTGCTTCATTGTACTGATTTTGTGGTGGTTTGAATGAGAATATCTCCCTGCAACAGGCTCAGGTAGTTGAACACCTGTTCCCCAGTAGGTGGCGCTACGTGGGAATATTTTGGACCCTTTGGGAAGGGGAGGAAGTACGTCACACTCCAGGGAGCTATAAACGTGGGGGTTTATAGCTCCACCCCACGTACGGTTCTCTCTTTCTCCTTGCTTTGTATTTGCATTTGAAGATGTGAGCTCTCAGCTTCCATGCCTTTGGTCCTGCCTCACTTCCCCGCCTTGATGGGCCCTAAGCCCTCTGGAACCCTAAGCCCAAATAAACTCCTTCTTCTACAAGTTGCCTTTGTCATGGCGTTTTATCATAGCAAGAGAAAAAAGTAACCGAGTCACAATAAATGAGGCAGTTGATTTAGGGAGAATTTTATATGATCTAAGTATCTCCCTATTCTATCCCACATCTCTGCTTTTGTGATAAAACACTGGCCAAAAGCAACTTGGAGGGAAGGGTTTATTTGACTTACAAGTTATAGTCCACCATGGAGGGAAGCCTTTGCAGAAACTCATGCTCTAACCTGGAGGCAGGAACTGAAGCAGAGGCCATGGAGGAACACTGCTTATTGGCTTGCTTCTTCTGGTTCTTAGCCTGCTTTCTTATGCAACACAGGATGACCTTCCCAAGGCTGGTACTACCCACAGTGGGCTGGACCCTCCTACATCAATCATTCATCAAGAAAATGGCCCCCAGACTTGCTCACAGGTCAATCTGATGGCGGCAGTTCCTCAGCAGAGGCATCTTCTCAGAGGAGTCAAGGTGACAAGATTAGCCATCACACTGCCAACCCTGCCACCTTTTCAAACGCAACATCCCCTATTCATTCCTCAGTCTTTCCAATGTGAGTCATGCACACTCAAGTTTTTTGGGGGGGGTGCAGAGCGGGGTGGGGAATGTTACTCTGAGTGGTATCATCCTTCCCCTCGATTTCCTTGTGGGTTTTTACTCCCAATAGGAATGTTGCTGAGTTTTGCATATTTTTCTTGAATTAATGAGCAGATACTTAATATATGCATGTTTTTGTTTCCAAAAATAATTATTCTAAGTGCATATGTAGAATCTTCCATTAATTCTTCCATCCAATCCCACTATACATCCCATTCCCCATCTCATCCTTTAACACTACCCATCCTATCCCATACCATCTAATCCCATCCTCCATCCCATTCTTCCATCCTACTCCACCTCATATCATTCTACCCCATCATCCCATTTCACCGCATCAATCCTGGACCCCTCCCATTCCATCCATCCATTCATCTCATCCCACCCCCATCCAACTGCATGTCCATTCTAACCTCATCCCCACCCCATCTCAACCTGGACCCATTCCATTCCCATCACATCCCACCCCCATCCCCATCCTATCCCATCCCAACCCATGCCCATCCCAATTCTTCTTAGCACCCATGTGTTTCCATGCTTTCCCTGGGTTTCTGGGAGATCACTGTGTCAGCACATCTTCCAGCCCTCCCTGCTTTCTAGACTTCCCTTCTCGGCCCACAGGGAATTGTGTAGGCTTTTCTGTGAAGAAGCTCCTAGCACAGTGCTTGGCTTATGTCAACACCTGACTCCAAAATTCTGCGTCAAGGACTTAGCCTCACTTTCTGCCCACTTTGGAGCTGGTTGGATGCGAAGCCGGCTGTGCCCTGCGATGGCCTGCTGGGGCGCTGACGCTCAGCATTAGCAGAGAGACCTATTATTAGGCACATTTCAAACAGCAGATCCCGTTTAGTGCTGAGCCCTCAGAACTCTGCTGTCACCAATGCCTGGCGCTTCTGCTGGCCACAGAGCCCCACGGAGGCGGCTGTGTGCCACCACCAGGCAAGGGCTGGGGCACGGAGGGGGCCCTCATTATACAGCTCAGTTTGTGACCCTTTTGTGACTTCTCTGCATGTGCTTTATCCAGCATGGGGTAAACTGTTGGTGATGTGTTACTGGTCATAGTCTGTGACAGCCTGGTGACCCGGGGAGCCCCGAGGTCTGTCCTCGGCTCAGGAGTGAATGGGCTGGGACCAGCAAGGACTGGTGACTGCTTTTGTTTTATCTTTCAGACTTGGCAGTTCCTCCTGCTGGGCTGGACCTGCCTTCACCCATCCTGGAGCAGAGTGGCCTCACCTTGTCTCAGGAGATGTGCCCGTGAAGCTGAGAGTCTAACACCGTTTCCAGTATCTTCCACACAAACCCATCTTTTCTTGATTTTTTTTGTGGAATTAGGAAATGACACTAAGAAATAATGTGCTCCGAGCTGTGCACTGCACTGTATAAGAATTCTCACTGGCTTGCAGAACTTAGGATGGTGGCAATGGCCATAACTCTGCCTCCATTTCTGTCTTGATTTTTGACCACTCTTGAGAGACACCAGCAGGGAGGGACAGAGCCAGTGAGCCTTGGACTTGGGGCTTATTGGATGTGTAGGAATTTGAAGATGACTTCCTCTCTGCTAAGGAAGTGGGGTTCAAAAGTCATCCAATTTTATTTATTTTTGTTACTTAAGAAGGGCTTATTAGCCGGGCATTGGTGGCTCACGCCTTTAATCCCAGCACTCGGGAGGCAGAGGCAGGCGGATCTCTGTGAGTTCGAGACCAGCCTGGACTACCAAGCGAGTTCCAGGACAGCCTCCAAAGCCACAGAGAAACCCTGTCTCGAAAAACCAAAAAAAAAAAAAAAAGAAGGGCTTATTACTTAATTTAATTTGATCTATGTGTGTTGTGCCTTTGTGTAAGTCTGTGTACCATGTGGGAACAGTGCCCACCAGAAGAGGGCATCGGGTCCCCTGGAAGTGGAATTACAGATGGTTGTGAGCCCCGTGTGGGTGCTGGGAATTGGACTTTTCCTCTGGAAAAGCAGCCAATGCTTTTAACCACCAAGCGATCTCTCCAGTCCCAAATTTTTGTTTTCTGTGGAGGGGGGGTGATGAAGCCCAGGGTGGCCTACTACTTAGCTACAACCCAGCCCATGTAGCCACTGTCTCAGAGACTGCCCTTTAGAGGCAGGGTCTCTGTAACCCAGGCTGGCCTTGGGCTTACAGCAGTCCTCCTGCCTCAGCTTCCCAGAGTGCTGGGATTTCAGGTATGTACTCTACTCTGGCCCAGAATGAGTCTTTTAGAGCAGCCGTGAGTTTATTTTCTGCTCAGATATTTTGTCTCTGACAAAAGTCCCAGGAAGTTGTGATATTTCAAACAGATGGTGATTCTGCAGATGAGGGGCAGACACAGGCCATGTGGAAAGTGAGGATCAGTGCTGGGCCAGTGTGACCCCAGATTAAATGACACATTTCAGCTGTTGTCAAGTGTGTAGTTCAGTGGCCTGTGGACTATCCATGGTGTGTGCAGTCACTACCCCTCTGGTTCCTTGCTACGTCTATTGCCCCAGAATAAACCTTATGCCCATTAAACATGCCCTTATGCCCAAAAAACAGTGTTTTTTTCCAATCTTTATCATCACCAATATGCTTTTTATTTCTATGGAGTCATCTATCCTGGGCATTTCATAGAAAATACTAAGCAAAATATTTTAAGTGTTTACATTGCATAGTGGAAATCAGTCCTTCTTGCTTTTTTATGGCTGAATACTATTTTGTTGTATGGACATACTATATCCTGTGGGCCAGTCATTGGTCTCTGGACATTGAGCTGTTTCCCTCAGTGCCTGCTATGATATCACTGCTGTGAGGAAGAACATATGAGTCTTTGAGTAGGTTCTGGTTCCTTCCATGGTCTCAGGATGTCGACAGTTGCCAGGACCTAATGACTCTGGAATATAGAGTATGGTAGGGATATCACTCCCTGCTTCCAGACTTCAATGTGGACCTATGTTTGGGACACAGGTGCCTGAGTGGAGCCTCCCTTCCCAAGGGAATCATATTTAGAATGCAAAATGAGTCCTGATTAGGAAACTTTTTAAAAAAAGATTTATTTTAGTGTGTGTGTGTGTGTGTGTGTGTGTGTGTGCAGGTGCCCATTGAATCCCCTGGAGTTGGTGTTATAGTCAGCTTTGAGTCCCGATGTGGGCTCTGAAAATTTTGCTGAACACATTTTTGTGGTAGGGAGCATCATCTTGGGGGTGTGAGGGTATCAGCTCCTTGGCCTCTTAGTTTTAGTTGCTGTGGTTCATTCAGGATCCACAAGTGAACCCACAGGGAGTGGGTCCCTTAGTCAGAGAGGCCACAGACAGCTTCCAGACACCCTTTGGTAGGCAGGAGCTGCAGGTGATATGTGTCAGTTTTGTCTGTAGTTTTCCTCAGTCTTTTCCTTACACAGGCCACAGGGCCCCACACAGCCTCAATCAGGATGTTGCCAGGTTAAGGTAGCTCTTGAGAGGAACAGAGCTATTTACCATCTTTATAGAGTTAACAGTGAGATTATGACCCTAGGGGGGAGAGACAGAGAGAGAGAGAGAGAGAGAGAGAGAGAGAGAGAGAGAGAGAGAGAGAGAGAGAGAGAGAGAGAGAGAGCCCATTTCCTGTTATTCTCTTCTTGCCCCTCTGTTCCTCTGTTGCTAGGTAGCTGGTACATCTGGCAATTACCAAGTTGAGGATAGGAAGGGCTTATAGGGTTGATGGGCAGCTGGATGGGGAGGGAGACTGGACAGGGATGAAGGACCCAGACAGCTGGGAGCTCGGCACAGCCGCCTCACTCTGCATCAGGAGCACTGCTTGGTGGGCGCATCGATGTCTGCCTCCACCTGGCCGCAGGGCCCTGGACCACCTGCAGGGGCAGACCCAGCCCTGGGCCGCCAGGGGAGCTCTTCAGCCCTGAGCCCTGCATCAAGGTCCCCAGCTCCGCCTCCATTTCTGCCCTGCTTTTGACCAAGGCTTCACGAGAGAGGCGCCGGCAGGGAAGGGACAGAGCCATCTTGGGATGCAAGTGTGCATGCGCGTTTGTGTGTGCACACGTGTGAGTGTGTGTGTGTGTGTGTGTGTTAAAACATTGCCTTTTCCGAGCTCTGGCTGCTGCTCTCTGACTGGTGGCTCCTGCGCTTGCTCCCTCCCCCACCTCCCTGTAAAAATTAAATGAATAATTTCTGGCTGATTCCGAGCAGTGCCCACACACCCGTGCCCTTCAGTGTTGATTGGATCTCTCTCTCTCTCTCTCTCTCTCTCTCTCTCTCTCTCTCTCTCTCTCTCTCTCTCTCTCTCTCTCTCTCTCTCTCTCTCTCTCTCTCTCTCTCTCTCTCTCTCTCCTCCCTCCCTCCCTCTGGCCCCAGATTGTAATCTGACACAGTGTACTGCGGAGGCTCTGGCTCGTTCTTTCTCTCTCTCTGGGAGCCCAGGAGGCTGGACACCGAGAACGTTCAAGGTAGGCTGCGATTTGAGATTTAATTTTTTTTCCTCCTAAAAATAGCTTCTGTTCCATTCACCTTTCTTCTTAGAACCGCAGTGGCCCGGTGACAGGGGCTTAGCAGGGAACTCTTTGCCCTGGTGAAGTTTATTTTCCAGCGTTGGGAGGATGCCCTTCGGCATTGGGTGGGCAGCGGTGGCTGAGGACAGAGGCTGCAGCGGGCGACGCTTGGTGTGGGATGCCGCTGTGCTCCTGTCACCGTGTGGCTTGCCACCAATGGATCCTTGTCAGAGTGAAGGGAAGGGCTGGCTGGCTTCTCTCATCTGTACCGTGCCTGTGTGTGTACCATGTCAGCGATGGCGATGACGGCGGCGCTGTGGCTCTCCCTGTCTTCTTGGGCCCCCAGCTTTTCAGAAAAGCCCCTCTGGGCAAAGTTTGACACCACGGTGCTGGGGCAGAGCCTTTTCAGAGGGCAGAAACTTGGTCTTGGTTTCAGACAGAGTGCTGGGGTCCTGGGGGATGGCGCAGGGCGGGGGGGGGGGGGGGGTGAAGGGGAAGGGGCGGGCTCGAAGCATCCCAGTCCAGTCTCTCTGTCATCCACTGCCCACGCGGATTGAAATGTGCAATGTGAATTTGTCAAACAGCGTCCCAGAGAGCGGCTGTGATGGTTTGTTTGTGGAGACAGATGTTCTCAGCACAGCCTGTGTGAGTGTGTGTGTGTGTGTACGTGTAGGTGTACAGAGGCCTTTGGCTAGTTCAGATTTTCCCCCTCCACCTGAAAAGGCAGCGCTTGCAGGTTTACAGGATGACCCTGGCAGGACTCCTGTGTGGACAGAGCCCCAGGGAGGCGATGGCTGGCTGGGACCTCTGGGGGAGCAATTTGGTTCTGTCCCTAGGGAGAGTATACTGGCTGTCCCTTGAGCTGATGTCTGGGTGATCAGATCAGGAAGAGAGAGGAGTGATGGAGAGAAGAGAGAAAGGGGGAAGGAAGGGAAGAAAGAAGAGGGACTGAAGAAAGGGAGGGAGGGACAGAGGAAAAGGAGGGAAAGGGAAAAGGAAGAGGGAGAAAGGATGAAAGAGGAAAGTACTAGAAAAGGAAGGGAAGTGTGGATGAAGAAAGGAGGGAGGGAGGGAAGGAGGGAGAAAGGAAGAAAGAAGGAAGGAAAGAGGGAGCACATTCCCAGCCCGAGTGGAGGGAAGCAGGTCCACTGTTGGCTGTGGGGACCGAACTTGGGGCTCACTGGGCCCCTCTGGAAGTCTCTCTGTGTTACAGATCCTCAGGGTGTTGGTGGCTGTGGGGAGGGGGAGGGAGGCAGAAGGTGGGAGACAGCTCATGTCAGGGACAGGGTACTGTCACAGAAGGAGCAGCCTAGGAGGAAGAGGGAGGTGATTCCGGGTGTTGGGGAGTGTGGAGAAGGAGGCGGTACCCAGAGCCCTGGGCTTCTGTGGCAGGTGAAGGACTGATTTCTCCTCTACCCAGTTCTGGGCTAGGAGCTGGAGGCTTCTCAAACAAGCCCGCGTGTGGACTGCAACTAGCATGGGACCTCTGAAAACAGTCTCACACACACACTTTTCCCAGCCTCACTAGAGTTCCCCCAACTCCAAACTGGCTTCTTTCTCATCTTGGCAGTTCCTGGCCCCCAGCATTCATAGTTCTTATGGGTTCTGAACTCCAGACAGGGTGGTTCTTTGGGGGCATGAGTGACAGAGGCATGAGGCTTAGGAACAAATGGTTACCAACTGGCTCAGTACCCAGGGCACAGAGCTCAGCTTGTGGAACCCCCCCCCCCCAGTGCAGAGGTCATGCTGGGCTCACACACCTATCTGTGAAGACACATCAGGCTGCCCTGTAGGGAGTCTACCACTCATGGTATCAGGGGCACGGCTCAGGGGAGGGGTGGAGCGTCTACCTTTCTAAAAGTTCCCAGAGGTGGCTGCTGCTGCTGCTTGGGGATCCCGTGTGAACACCCCTAGGTCAAAGGGCAGCTCCCAGTGGCGCCATAGCGTTTTGGGGTTCAAGCGCATGGGCAGTTTGACTGGGGAGTTTCCATTCCATGGGAAGGTTTGAGGAGGTGCCAATCCCCAGAGAACTTCCCCCACGCACCCCCCAGACCCATCTGGAAAACAATGACAACCCTACACCCTGCCCCCTGCCTTCTCATTTGCCTCCACCTGTGTGGTGAGTGGTGTCATTTCCTGGTGATGTGGGAGAGGCCAGGCAGCCTTGGGGAGCCCTGCTGCTCTTGCTGCCGGGCTGTCCACGAAGGGTGGGGCCAACTCCTTTCTCTTTCTTCTCTTCCTGTCTTTCTCACCTTGTCTCTCTCTTCTTTTACCGAACTCCACGCTTCTTTGTTTGTTTGTTTCGGTCTTGGTTTTTCAAGACAGGGTTTCTCTCTGTAGCTTTGGAGCCTGTCCTGGAACTCGCCCTGTAGACCAGGCTGGTCTTGAACTCACAGAAATCTGCCTGCCTCTGCCTCCCGATTAAAGGCATGCGCCACTATCTCCTGGCTCGCACTTTTCTTTTTTTTAAACTGTCTCCATTTCAGCCACCTCCAGTGACCTTGGTTTGGGGTCTGTATGTTTTGTCTCCGGGTTTGGATGACTATGAACTGGTGTGTGCCGGCCCCCTGCTGTGCTCTGCTTCCCTGGGTGAATCTGGGCACGCTTTTCTGGTGGGCAGCTTTGATCACGGCAGTGCTCTATTCCATAATGTCTGTCACTCATGTTTTAGACCCCTTTCCCCAAGAAGGGGGCTGAGATGTTTTCAGAGTCCTGGCACATGGTAGGGTCCTCGTGGCTCCAGTGAGCACTGCTCTGGGCTGTATCTCAGAGCTGTCAGAGTGAGCGAGTGCGTCCCTGGCCATGTCGGAGGGAGGCTTCCTGGTCTAGTGACACATGGCACTGTGGAGTCACTGTAATGGTTCCCCCTCTACCCTGTGATACCTGCTCCTCTTACTTCTCTGCCATCAGCTTAGGAAGCACCACAGTCGCAAGCTGAGATGACATGGAGGGGGCAAAGGGACATCGGGAAGGGACACTTATCAGGAGTCAGACCCCGCCCCCCTGCTCCGTGTGTTAGGGACAGGACTCACTCGTAGACGCTGAGAGGGTACTGATATTTCCAGCTGGCTGCTGTTACTGGGGGGCAGGGGGAGCAGAGTCAATGGCTTCCAGGGCTGTCACTGTATATGCAGAGTGGTGCTGCTTGATGCTGGCCCGTGTCAATGAGCGGTGCTTGTATGTGTGGCTCACAGACACTGGTTCCCCACTTTACAGGAGGTGATGGAGTGACCTGTCCTGGATCACGTGACGATGAGAAACAGCCCGTGTTCCATATCTGGTCCTCTGTTGTACTGCAGCCCTACCCTGCCCTTTGCATCTGGATGGGCATGCCAGTGGCACACAGTGGGACTCACCTTGGATCCAGCGCATGCTCTACTCCATTCCTGGAGCTTTTGAAAACCACTCATGTTCAGGGCGTGGCCTCTGGCTCCTAGAGTAGGTGCTGAGGGACAGCGTTAAGAAAAAAATTCATTCAATCGTGTGTGTGTGTGTGTGTGTGTGTGTGTGTGTGTGTGTGTGTGTGCAGACCAGACACCAGCTTGTGGGACTCAGTTCTTTCTTTCCACCGTATAAATTTTGGGGATTGAATTCAGGTTGTCTGGCTTGGCAGCAAACACTGTTGCTCACTGAGATATCTTGCTGACCCATTTGTTTTTTGACACAAGTTCTCCTATAGCCCAAACTATCCTTAAACCTCATCCTCCTGCCTCCAACTGCCGAATGCTGGGGTCATAGGCATGTGTCACCACATCCAGCTTGGCGTCAACATTTGTAACACAGCTTTCTCAAGGAATAATTCACTAACCACGCAGTTCCTCTGTGTCATAGCTTGTGACATGGGGTCTGTGTTATGTGGATTTTGCGTCCATCTCAGGGTTCCCCCATGCTGTGGAATATAGCAAATCGTGACTTTTTGATGGTGGGTGAGTACTTACATCATGATATATAGAAGGGCATTTTTAAAACCAAAGTACCAGTGTGTGTGTGTGTGTGTGTGTGTGTGTGTGTAGAGAGAGAGAGAGAGAGAGAGAGAGAGAGAGAGAGAGAGAGAGAGAGAGAGAGAGAGAGAGAGAGAGAGACTAGGGATGGAACCCAAGGCCTTGCACATAGTAGGCAGGTAGGCAGGAGCTCTACCTAGTCCCTCACTGGGGGATTCCAGGCAATTACTCTGGTCCCACCCAAATCCCTCACTGGGGGATTCTAGGCAAGCATTCTACCCCTCTGCCTGGTCAGAACTGCTGCTAACAGCACAGACATGTAGAAGGTAACTCTCCCACCCGCACTTCCTCTCTCCTATCTTGACGGGACATTCCTTCTGTCTAGACGTTTATTTAGATCCCTCCGGCTCCACCCAGGTTTATCCACCACTGCCCCCTTTCCCTCCGCATTGAAGTTTGACTTCCCTCACTGCGGCCTTGACCTGAGATCTCCTCATGGGCTGTGACTCATGTCCCTCCCGGGCATCCTGTATCCATTTCTGATCTTCAGGCCACTCAGCATGACGGAGTCCTATAAAAGCAGGTCCAGCCTGCTGTGTCATGGAAACCCTGTCATATGTAGTGTCTGCTGGAGCCACTGTGAGGTCCCTAGAAGACCCTGGGCACTGGTGATGTGGTTGCGCTCGCTCTTTCTCCCTGACATCTTAGCCCAGAAACCTCTACCCAGAGCTGCCCACTTGTCCAGGGCTCTGTTCAGAGGTCACTTCCTCTGAGAGCCCCTGCCTATCTGCAGGATACCCTCCCCTACTGTCTACCGACTGGGATGCTCCATTTGCTCTCTGCTGCCTCCTGGTGGCCTCCTTTGGTATGAGGCCTGAGTACAGGGCACACATGTCTGGGTCTCCCTCCTCCTGCCCTGGTGCCCCACAGCATTCCTGCAGGGAACTAGACTTGTGGCCGAAGTGACTTCCAGACTGCCGGCCCATTGCGGTTCACTTCCAGGTCAGCGGTACCCCG